TTGCTAGGGACTTGCCCGGCACTTGCTCTCTACCTCTATTTGTTATCTTACTTCTATCATTGACAGTCCCTCTAGGTTGTGGGCTGCTTGCCTGTGTTCCTGAGAAGCATCTACGGTACCAGTCTATAGAGTGTGTTTTCTTTAGTGAATTACCGGTATGTTTACCGGTAATAAACTTGCACTGTTTTATGTATATGTTTGATTACATACAGCCTTGTGACAGTTTTCCTGCATGTCATAAGCATTTGAATATAAATTAAAATGTTAAAATCAAATCTGATATTGTTTTACCTTTTATTTGGTGTGTGGAAGGTGTGCGGAAGAGGGGGTAGTCTTATACGGCAAGTATATAACAAACTCTGTATTTTGAGTGGAAATGTTAGGGGGTCGTCTTATACGCCCAGTCGTCTTATACGCCGGCAAATACGGTAATTCATTATAAACAAATTACCTCATCTTAAACTTAATGTTTTCATAAATAGTTTTTTTCAATTGTGGAATATAATTCATTTTGTATTTTTTATATCAAATAGTACGATGCTTTTGGTAATTTGAGTCAGTTGATACTGACTTGAGAATGACATTTTCGAGTCTAACATTTGTGCTACCTCTTCTCATAACAGAAGCATTGAGCCAGTACCAATTCTAATGTAACTCTTGTTTAACCTGTGTGTTCAACTAAAGGAAAATGACCGAAAGAACCAAAATCACAAAATGCTTAGTAGGTGCTTTAAAGATGGGCTAGTTCCAATATCTATAGCTGGCTGGATGCCCTCCTGAACACATCAGCCCTCCTTGAGCCTCAACAGAGGCAGGCGGTTGCAAGAGATTATAATTCCAATGTTGAATTCTTGCTTCCAAAATATAATTATTTAGGGCAGTAAAACTAGTACAGTTCTTTGGGTGGATTATGACACAAATGATAAAAAGCATATTTTTCAAAGTATATTTAATGAAAGAGAACATGTTCACAAGTGGAAAAATCATGCAAAACGATTACTTTCGCCCCGGCAGCCTGGTTCTTTGGTTGAACGTCAATACATGAACCAGGAGGTTATGGTTCGATTCCCAGTCAGGGCACATGCCCGAGTTATGGGCTCAATCCCCAGTGTGGTGTATGTAGGAGGCAGCTGATCAATGATTCTTTCTTATCACTCATGTTTCTATATCTCTCTCCCTCTCTGAAATCAATAAAAATATATTTTAAAAAAGGAAAAAATATATATTTTTTGTTTCAAAATGATTATTTCTTTTTAACTTCCTAATTTCTTTTTTTAAAAGTATGTACATACAACACATATTTCCTTGATTCTATGACAAGTGCTTATAAAACATGCCACCAGGGGGGGGTTAGAGAGCAATGAAAGGACTTATATGCGTGCATATTAGCATAACCAATGGACACAGACACTGGGGCAGTGGGGGCTTGCCCAGCTAGGAAGGGGTAGGGGAGGGGGTCAATTGGAGAAAAAGGAGACATATGTAAAACTTTAGACAATAAATAAATAAACAAATTAAAAAATAAAACATGCCACCAATTTTCCCTTGCAATTCTCCAAGGGACAATGACATTAAAAATATAATATCTGGCCCTGGCCAGGTAGCTCAACTGTTTGGAGCATTGTCCCATACACTAAAGGGTCACTGTTAGATTCCTGGTCAGATCACATACCCAGGTTTTGGGTTTGATCACTGGTCCGGGCACATATGGGAGGCAACCGATCAATGGATGTTTCTTTCTCTCTCCCTCTCAAAAAAATAAAATAAATTAAATTAATCAATAAAATCATACCCTCAGGTGAAGATTAAAAATAAATAAATAACGTTTTGTAAAACATCTGAATTTCATAAATGTTAGTTAAGATAGAAGAATTGTTAGTAGGCAGGAGCTTGTGGCTGGACTGCACAAATCTGGAGCATTTGTCCTCAGCAGAAACCTGGCTGAATAAAAAACCAGGAGTGAATGAAGTGCAGATAATTATTTACCCAGCATAATTACTCTCTTCTGCCTGCATAAGCTCAGATCCATTATTTCCAGGGATTCCAGAGTTAATCAGTCTCTCTTGGGAGTGGCCCTCCCAGCAGCTCTTACATAATCATTACCTCAATATTTCATTCCAGTCAAACACAAATACAGACAGAAGCAATCTGGTTCAGCCTGCCCAACCCAAGAGGGGAGACACAATCTATTCACCCTGGTTTTCCAACTCCAGAAACCAAGAGATTCTGATAAACATACTGGCTGATATGTGCAAGCCACAAACTATCCAGGACCTAATTCTTTGGAATTAAACAGGACAGTAAACAGTTAAATTTATGAACACAGATAAGCAAGGAAAAGTTAACTATGGTTTGCTCTGGATAGCAGAATCATTAGTGTGTCGTCCCTCCCTCCCCCAATTCTTTTGCTTTTCTGTACTTTCCAATCTTTCTGGAAAATATTAGGTAAACTAGCTCCCTCTCACTTGGCTAGGTACAGTCCTCCCATAGGCTTTTCTTCTTCCCTTCACAGAT